ATTCCATAGTTGAGAATACTCAACACGAAGGCATGATACTAGTGTCCTGTGGGACAAACTTTTTCATGTCTCGAATCCCGTTTGTCTCGTCCCGAACTTTTTTGGCAAATCCTGTCCCGTCCGGTTTGTCTCGCTTCGACAGAAAATATTCAAAATGTCACTTCAGCCAAGTGTTTTGTCTGTGCCAGCAACGAACACTTCCATCGAACGCATCTTTTCCGATAGTGGTAAACAAAATGATGATATAATTCAGTGATTTTTTGGTATGTGACAAATAGCTAGGGAAAATGGAATAAAGTTTTGTTTTTACCGATAATTCTAGAAAAACAAAGTGACTAATATCCATTTTAAAAAATAGAAAAATATAATTTTTTTGAATATATTAAAATAGAAATCTTGCCACTTTTACCTATCTACTCCTGAAAATATCAAACGGTCTTATCGTATCGTATCGGACGACATCTTGGAGATCACGTTTTTGAGAACATCTCATTACGATCCATTGAAACTTTTTTAATTAATTCAAATTAATTTCTTTTGCCATTAAAAATTAATCTGAACTGATTTAACTTGATAAACTAATTTTTTTGAATTAGTTTATCAAGTTAAATCAGTTCAAATTGATTTTTAATTGGAAAAAAATTCGTTTGAGTTAACTAAAAAGGTTTCAAAAAGTTGGGCAGTTCCTTTCGAAATGAAAGATGTATTTAGAATTATTTGAACTTCCCAAATCATTACATTTTAAAAATTTTTGATTCCCATAAATGTATGACAGGGCCCGAAACGAATCTAATTGCAAAAATGTTAAATCAAATCGAATTGAGCCGAATTTATTTACAAAAAACTTTATCTATGAAAAAATTTAATTCTAACTTCAATATTTATTTTAACAGTGCAAAGCTCTTAGAAGATTTCTAGAAAACTCATGGAAAACCTTAAATTATTGAGGTATAAATCTGGCAACCTCATACATTTGAACTATATAGTTTAGCAAGTTTCAAACAAAAAACAAAAAGTTTTTACTTTCGTCCTTATACTGCACGAGAATATCTCCACAAAACCTTGATTTTTCAGCGAAAAACCTTTCAAAATCTCGAAAACTAAAATTTTTTTAAGTCTATACTGGTGGAAAAAATTTGTAATAAATATCTTGTTTAACGCGATAACTTCACTATTGAGATCTATAGGCCTACTTCGATATATCATACTGTAGAGGTTACCCGATATAAGCTTTTTACCTATTGCGATAAAGAATAGGTGTCTCAATACAGCTAGTCAAAATGTTATCACGCTATATCGAGACAGAATTATTGCGTAGATAAAGCTTTCACTCATCTAGATAAAAAGTATTGGAGTAGATCGCGATAAGAGACATAGTTCGCTGTGTCGGCGAATCGTTGCCTACCGCCAGAAAGACCATGATTATCACAGTAGAAACCCCTACTTTGTTTTTATCCAGATACAGATGAGTTACGATACATCTATGTATACTGTTGATCGCGATAAGGATGCTGTTTATCACGCGACGTATACAGTACTCCGCTAATTGTGTAATGACATAAAAACAATTCCGTAAAAACAATCAAACAAAATTCATGTTCACATTCCACAAAGAGATACAAAGATATTCAGAAACAACCATTCATTTCATCGAAACTTCCATAGTCTTTGAGGGATTATGAGAGTTAAATTTGAATCACAGGTCGAAAATTCAGTAAAACAGTAATAAATTCGGAAAGTCTCTAGGTCATTATCGTTTTTAGTTGCTTCTAGTCTCCTTGGTACTGTTTATGAACAAAATTTGAGCTCGATCGGAACCCAACGCCTACGAACATATCCTCGTCAGCGATCAGGTCAACGCAGTTGGAAATGAACTATATACAGAATTTTCTTGATATCAGTGAAAATATATTTCAATTCATTGAAAAATCAATTCAACAACGCACCACGTACAATCAACCATGCTCTCTATTGAGATTTGCTTATTTAAATCTTCGTACGTAGGCCAATGCACGAAGATTACTCACCTAAATAGGTGGGTATATGGTCAATTTTCAGAAAAGAACGGTTTTTCTTAGCAATAGAACAACATTTTTTAAGAGTCGGAGATTAAGTTTTTATCTTATTAGTGCAGCGAGTAGAGTGTCGTTTCAGACGTGGTTTTATCTCTTTCTAGAAAAAGTAAATATATCTGTCAAATTGTCACTTATCCATTTTTCCCTAATTTCCTTGGAATCGAATTCATTATCATAATGTCATATTTCCGCAGTCAGACTGTGTTTCGAGACTCAGATTTACTCGAAGAATTAGTAAAAATACTTCTGAGCGTTAGAAATAACGAAGATGTTTGTGAAATTGAGCTCACATTTAATACATTTCCGAAATCGCTATCATGTTCTCACTTAAATTATTGTTAAAAAATGGTAAATCAATATTTTTATATGGAATTCAATGAGCTCTAACGAACCATGTATAAATAAAAGAAATTTGCAGTTGTGTTCATCGTTCCCAAATCATAGCCATTCTACGAATGCGCTTAGCTATGCTTGGCTCATCCTTACAAAATGTTCGCTTTCAAATCATTTTGAAAAGCATTGAGCGCTTGTTATCGATTACCTTTCTTCCGATAAACATCACCGATACTTTTATGGGTTTCTGCAATACTTGGGTCACCTTTTGGTAGAGTTCGCATTTTAAACTCAAGTGATTGGTTGTACCATATGAGGCTTTTATCATAATCACCTTCTGCCACAGCCATAGAGCCGAGCAAGTCATAGCATCTCGCAGTATCCTCGTGATCTTGAGGTAAATCATGGAGGTAACGATTAATATATTCCTCGGCTTCATCAAATCTGTTCAAATCGTACAATACTTGAGCAAATGTGAGAAGACTTATTTCTCCATGATAATATTTGTTCCTCATTTGATCAAAGGTGGGTTTCAATTGATGATCATAATCGCTGTACAATGTCATTTCAATGGTGTAAAAGCCATCTTCTCCGCAAGTAATATTATTGATCAGAAATACGGAACCGAACAAAAAGAGTATTTCATTTTTGTCGGTGGAATAGCTAAGCGAACCAATATGAACGAACGGTTTGGCACCGGGTATTCGAGGATCGGCATCAATCTCGAGCAATACTCGTTCGTAGTTGTCTTTTGACATTTGACTATCATTGAGAAAAGTGAGAGCCACTTCGTAACTGGTAGTCGCTGAGAGAAATGAGTTTATTGCGATGCATTGTCCGATCGAACCTATCCATGTGTCTAACAATTCAGTTCTCATCAATTGACTTCGATAGACGTGAAACGGCGATAAACATTTCTGTTGCTCGACCTGTTGTTCAATATCACGAAGAATTCTTCGAAAGAGAAAAATATTACGGATGTCTTGACTTTCAAGAGTATAGTTCACAGTTTTGTACAGAAAACAGTCTCTAAGATACCACCATAGGGCTCGATCGGATGTGTAACTTTTGTCAAATTCATGTAGAATACGTAGTTCGTTTGGATTATCTTTGAGCTGTTCGAGACACATAGCAATGAGTTTCTCCTGATCGGGAGGGCTCCATTTTATTCTCAGCAGACTATCCATAAGTAGTTGTGTCTGAAAATACTGAATGGTGAGTCCATTTCTCGATTGGTTCTGATCATCATTCATAGTGGAAGCCGAGGGTGACTCTTTGACTTGATTCAGATTTCGTCCTGAAGCATTTGATCGAATTTTTTCCATCAGTTCAATACAGCTTTCGCCTAAAATACGAGAGTGTATGTGACTTTTGACAACTATTTAACAATACGCTTGACGACAATGAATTTTTGCTCTAACTTGAAAAATCGTCATGCCGATTGAACAAGAATAAAATAAAACTTGGACGTTGGACGGGAGTACAACCTACAAAAGAATTTTCTCAAGTTCTACACGGCTCCTACTTTCTCTAACGTTGGATTTAAAAATAGAATTTTCCTCGCTGAGGCTCTGAAAAACGCGTTAAATGGATGAACTTTTTCCATTAGACCGAGTTTTAAGGTAACAAAAAGCCACAAAACCTTCTTTAGAACGCGTTACGCTTTGCTTTCGTTTTGTCATTTTCTTTCTCTGTGAGTGTATGTGTTGCTCACCTCTGTTGTGATTTCATTCTGTTTGCTTTCATTCTTATGGTGGTATACACAGGTGAGAGAGAGGCACATGTATCACATAATCAGCACATTTGCGACCATCTTATAAGCACAATGGGCACAGCTTTCAGTAGCAGCCACATAAGCTACACTGCCATCATGTCCAACATGTTGATCTCCTCCAACAACAAATACACCAATACGATGAGAGAATGGAACGGATGGCGCCAAGTTTAATCTAGTGGAGCTCAGCTCCAAAAAAGTATCGAAGATAGTGTAACTTTTTCTGGAGGATTAGCCTTACTTCGAAATCTACACAGTCATAGATGATCGAACTGTAATTTTCAAACAAAACGCTGCTTTTTCATAAAGCTAAGAAAATCTTTAGGGGAGCTGAGAAACTTTTTGGAGGAGCTGAACTCCCCTGTGTTTATGCCACTAGTCTAATGAGCAGAGAATTTCTGTGGATGCGGCAGTCATATTGGACTCACTCTACAGAAAGGTATAAAATATAAACTACGAAGAGAAGACTGTACTGTAAATATTTTAGAACATTACAGTGATCGGAGTCGAGACAAGGATTTAGACCAGATCTGAAGGCTGTTAGTCCTGGAAAGAGCAAATGTCCTTTTCCTTGTTTCGGATTACCAGTTTTATCATACTCCTAGGGTCCCTCATACCACACCATCAAGATGGTGTTAAATCAAAGATCGGCATGGATGCTCCTCATCTATGGTTTTACTATTGTTCATTCGTATTCATATCGCGTAATATATGGTACGCTTTAGGCGTATGATGAAACTGCCAATCCGAAACAAGGAAAAAAACATTTGCTCTTTCCAGGACTAACAGCCCTCAGATCTGGTCTAAGTCCTGATCTCGACTCCGACTACTGTAATGTTTCAAAATATTCACAGTACAGTCTTCTCTTCGTAGTTTATATTTTATACCTTTCTGTAGAGTGCGTCCAATATGATTACCGTGCACAGAAATTATCTTCTGATTAGACGTGGCGCCATCCGTTCCATTCTCGCATCGCTGCTGCCGCGGAAGTTCCAGTTCTGCTCATCGGATCGAATGAGTACGTACATGGATCTTAGTATTGGTGTATTTATTGTTGGAGGAGATGAACATGTTGGACATGATGGCAGTGTAGCTTATGTGGCTGCTACTGAAAGCTATGCCCATTGTGCTTATAAGATGGTCGCAAATGTGCTGATTGTGTGATACATGTGCCTCTCTCTCACCTGTGTATACCACCATAAGAATGAAAGCAAACAGAATGAAATCACAACAGAGGTGTGCAAACACATATACACATACACTCACAGAGAAAGAAAATGACAAAACGAAAGTGGCGAAGGATGTAGAAGCTGCGGGAGTGTAATGATGGATGCATAAATTAACAAACGGGAGTGCAGAAAGGAAGAGACAACGACAGAAAAAAAGAGTTGACTAGATATTACTAGATATCAGGCCATGACACAGATCTGAAGTAAGAGAAGAACGAGGTCGTCACTCAGAATGGTGAAGAACCGAGAGTAAAGTGGTTTGTGCTATACATTGTGCAAGTTTTGTGATGATACTGAGAGTGAATACTTCTACAGAACACGCACATTCCTCTTTAATTGGTTATAGGAAAGAATAAAAAATTGACTGCCCGAAAAAACTATCCTTTGAACGAGATAGCAAATGTGATGTCGTGGATAATCGAATGATTGGTATGTGATATACGAACGATGTATGTACAAGAAGTGACAACAGTAACGTCAAATCCGAGGGCCAAGCTCTCTAATGTAGCGAACAAGGTTTTTCTACGATCGAACAACGAACAGTCTCTGTTACATATATTCGATTGGATGCATCTGTAGTAAGACGCGCGCTTACCGATGCTATTTTCGCTCTTTGTTTTGACACGCATCCACGCTTGCTTAACATTTTTCGTATGGGTCAGGGTATGTTGAGCGACGACGTTTCTCGAACAATTTATTATCTAAATGAATATACTGGTCAGACTCAGCGATGTTATTTTAACCATGCTTTCAATCACTATAGATGGGAGTCCCTGAAACTGAATTGCTCGATGAAAATCTTGTTCGTCACACTCGAGAGTTCTACCTTCTGTTTTGATGTTATTGTTGTAGCTTCTTGTACACACTTGGTTCGTATAGCAGTCATTTGCTAATTTGACTAATCCAGTCATCTCCTAATCCAGTCATCTTCAGTGACGTTTCATTTGATGAAAACTGATGAAAATCAGCAAAATCGACAAAAATCGGAAAAATCCCAAAATCAGCTGTTTTTCCCTTGTCACAACATCTCACCAGCAGTGGGAGAGAAATCTTCAAACCGAAATTATATTCGTCCAACGAAAATTTTGCTACGAAACTACAAGAAGTCACCTTTGACGTGAGTGGCGAAAAAACTGCAATATGTCAATTTTGCCATTTACATCATCCCCGCACGAGAATTATGCTCCTTTGTGTGCGAATTATGCGTATAATCTAGAAGATATTATGCTCACGAGAATTTTGTATCGCTTCATAAAAAGCTTTGTGCTTAGATCACGGGAATAATTAGTTTACTCAAGATTTATGCTCTTTTCGGTGCAAATTATGCCGTCTTCTTTGGGAATTATGCCCGATCTAGAAGATATTATATTGTCGCCACGAGAGTCGGTATTCGTTCATATCCCGTTTCTTCTCTGGCAGGTGAGAATAGTGCATTTACGCGAGAATAATGCTGATTGCCTTAAAAATTATGCGTGATCTACAAGGTCTTGTGCTGTTATCACGGGAGCTTGTATCTCTTGCCACTTTGATATCTGGTATGCAAGAATAATGCTATTTACTGTGAGTTATCCATCATCTAAAACATATTATATATCTTCTATCTATATATTCGTATCCACTCGCTTTTCTGGTACGTTTACACGGGAATTATGCTCTCGTCTGTAAGAATTATGCACCGTAATTTCTGACACGAAAGATAATATAAACCATTATCGGCTCTTAATAAAAATACAACACTCTGTATTTCAATCCACCTCCGTTGAATATTACCATCAACATAGATAGCAATTTTTTTCTGATAATCAAATGAAATTATAACTCATACACTCTATCGGAACTCCGAAGACTTCAGAGAACCCTTGCAGGCGACGGGACCTACGTATAATTCGATGGCTGTCAGAACTTTAATATTTTCGCTAACTTGTTGTAAGTTATGAAATATATATCAATCTATGTGCGTACGTATATGTTCGCGTACCTTTCCTCTCCAAACATGCGTTATATATATTCATCCTTCGTATATATCCAAACTTTCTAGATATTTATCTATCCATCAAGCCATGATTTGTTACGTATCTACACATATTTGATTTCAGGTAGTTAGGAGCTCATTCTCTGTAGATATTCAAAATAACTCCTAGTCCAGATATATAAAAGAACTCATTACTAAAGCAATTTTAAAACGTCATTAGTTCATATAAGTCGGACAACTCAGATAGCGATAAATGTCTAGAGAGGATGAATATCTCTAAGTATATCAGTAACTTAACACGTTGAACAGACGGTTCGGGTAAAGTACACTACGTATACGCTTTCGACTTAGTCAGAACGTAAGAATTCTGACATTTATATATAATTCATACATACACACTGCTGACATTCTGCAATTTCGTACAAACTTCAAAATGCCATCGAAAAACGTACACGACGACTATCAAAGAAAAGGAGCAATTGTTAAAGAATTCATTGTGTTTTTTTTTATTTTTCCAGCTTAATTTTACTTATACATAAATTATAACTTAGAATTAACAATTTTTACTATCTATAAAACTATCGCTTGTGTGAAAACAGATCAAATCATAGAGTGTTCACTATTTTCCCAACTACTGTTATAAGAACATTGTTCAGAGATTCCAAAGCAGAAAACTGTTAAATGATATTGTTTCACTATTTAAATAATCTTCAATAAGAGGTATATCCTGTTATATATATTGCCTCGAATTTACTGGCCATCGAACAGCAACCTAGACTGCAT